AGTTCTATAATCGCACTGTTATGATTGTTATGATTATTGTCACTGCACAGGAAAACATATCAACAGGCCTCACTATTGCACGTGAGTGTTTTGAAAACATTATTAATATAAAACAGTCAAACAAAGCATTATGAAGTTTACTCACGGTTTGCTGTCGGCTAGATGCTGTCAGATGAGCAGAAAGCTGGAGTCTCATTACACTGTGCCTCTTTACCTGACAATCTGCCGTCAAACGCTCCGAACAAACATATAATCCTTCAACGCGATCAGACGACCTTAAAAACAAACCATCCGCGAGTTCCTGAGGCGAGTTTCACTCTGAAGAAGTCGATCAGAGACGAAACCAGCTGTTTAAACAGGACGTGTCAAAGTGAACTTACTCTTCCATTAAAGGCCTGCAGCGTCAGATTGAACGCGCGTCGGTGTATAATCAATGGGTTCTATTCATAATCAATGGGTTCTATTCGCTTATGACGCGACGCTCGCGTCCGCCGTACACCGGTGGGCGGGGCCTATAGTTCAATGACGTAAAACTATTGATGTGTTGCTATATTAGGCTGACTGAGAATTCAGCTTTGCCATCACATGAATAGATGTTTTAATATATTCTAAATTTATAGAATATTAAAATAGAACATTCTTATTTTGATTGTTTGTTGAAAATGTTAAATAGCCAACTCTCGACCAGTATCAATGACTATCATCATGCCATTTAATTTGATATTTTTATTATAGTGAAGTATACTGTAATCAATTGTTTGGAAACCCACATCCTACTACTGATATCACTGAAATGTGTCCCAAGTGTCTCCAAAATACACACAGAAGGGAACTTTGGTTTATGTGCAGAATAAAGCCTCAACATTATGGCATCAGAAATGGAAACCCTAAATGGAAACAAAACTGAACGTTTGAGGTGCACCAGCTTTTGACTCGTAGATTTTCCTTTGCCCTTCGGTCATACGCTCTTATGAAGCCTGAAAGTATGTTTACTTTGGATGGCATTTCCTTAAAGTTTCTGCATGGTTTGGCACCCATGGTTGTCCTCTTTACTGAATCAGCCCTGTTTCTCAGAGAAGCCCCGGTGGCCTTTTGTGCTCCATATGCACTCGCTCTCTCTCTCTATAAATTAAAGGGACACTGTGACACGGACACACACACACACTGGGCACCGTAAATCCAGGCCTGATAATCAGCACAGATGAATGGATGAGAAAGAAGGCAGGAATGTTTTGATGAGACTGATGCTCCAGATCATGTTCATCTGCCAAGGCTAAGGCCAGCTTGACCCGCCATTATATGAAAAAACTGCGTCAATGAAAGCAAACACAGTGAATGGAGAGTAGAGAAGCATACTAATGTTTACATCCCAAATCACAGCCTTATGCAGTCTCTCTCTCAAGAATTATACGTAAACTACAAAGCCCTTCCAGTAAATATTAATGCAGAAAGATACAGAATGCTGAGAATCCAAACATTGCAACGATGTTATAGTGTAATATTCAGAAGTGTGTTTCCACAGTGTCAGTAATTTATATTCCAGCAGACCTTGACACTGATCTAAATAAGAGAAGCAGCAGTACAGTAATCCGTGAGGAGAACCAATAAAGATGAATAAATACAGCGGTAATCTCTGCTGAGCTCGTGTGTAACGCTCTCACAGAAATCCCTTCTTCACACTTTACAGTCCGTGAGAGATTCCAGGCACGTTTATTATTCATACACGCCACTCCAGCGGTTTGCTTTCAACACAGAATTAATTATACGGACAGACAGATGGATAAAATGGATAGACAGAACGACAGACAGAACAGATCGAACAACAGACAAAACGACAGACAGAACGACAGAACAAATGACAGAACGAACAAACAGATTGAGCGAACAGACAGAACGAATAACAGACAGAACGAACAACAGACAGAACGAACAACTGACAGAACGAACAACAGACAGAACGAATAACAGACAGATCGAACGAACAACAGACAGAACAAATAACAGACAGAACGAACAACTGACAGAACGAACAACAGACAGATCGAACGAACAACAGACAGAACAAATAACAGACAGAACGAACAACAGACAGAATGAACAACAGATAGAACGAATAACAGACAGAACGAATAACAGACAGAACGAACAACAGACAGAACGAATAACAGACAGAACGAATAACAGACAGAACGAACAACAGACAGATCGAACAACAGACAGATCGAACGACAGAACAAATGACAGAACGAACAACAGACAGAACGAATAACAGACAGAACGAACGACAGACAGATCGAACGAACAACAGACAGAACAAATAACAGACAGAACGAACAACAGACAGAACGAATAACAGACAGATCGAACAAGAACGACAGACAGATCGAACGAACAACAGACAGAACGAACAACAGACAGAACGAATAACAGACAGATCGAACAAGACAGATTGAAAGACAGATTGAAAGACTGATCGAACGACAGAACAAATGAGAGAACGAACAACAAACAGAACGAACGACAGACAGATTGAGAGAACAGACAGAATGAACAACAGACAGATCGAACGACAGACAGAACAGAACGAATGACCAACAGAGTGAATAACAGAACGAACGTCAGACAGATTAAATGACAGATCGAGCGAACAGACAGAACGAATGACAGACAGAACAACAGAACGAATGACCAAAAGAACGAACGACAGACAGATTGAACGAGACAGATTTAATGACAGATCGAACGACAGAAAAAATGACAGAAAAAATGACAGAACGAACAACAAACATAACGAACAACAGACAGAACGAACAACAGACAGATTGAGAGAACAGACAGAACGAACGACAGACAGAACGACAGAACAAATGACAGAACGAACAACAAACAGATTGAGCGAACAGACAGAACGAATAACAGACAGAACGAACAACTGACAGAACGAACAACTGACAGAACGAACAACTGACAGAACGAACAACAGACAGAACGAATAACAGACAGAACGAACAACTGACAGAACGAATAACAGACAGAACGAACAACTGAACTGACAGAACGAACAACTGACAGAACGAACAACAGACAGAACGAATAACAGACAGATCGAACGAACAACAGACAGAACGAATAACAGACAGAACGAACAACTGACAGAACGAACAACTGACAGAACGAACAACAGACAGAACGAATAACAGACAGAACGAACAACAGACAGAACGAATAACAGACAGAACGAACAACTGACAGAACGAACAACTGACAGAACGAACAACAGACAGATCGAACGAACAACAGACAGAACAAATAATAGACAGAACGAACAACTGACAGAACGAACAACAGACAGAACAAACAAGACAGATTGAACGACAGAACAAATGACAGAACGAACAACAAACAGAACGAACAACAGACAGATCGAACGAACAACAGACAGAACGAATAACAGACAGATCGAACGAACAACAGACAGAACAAATAACAGACAGAACGAACAACAGACAGAACGAACAACAGACAGAACAAACAAGACAGATTGAACGACAGAACAAATGACAGAACGAACAACAAACAGAACGAACAACAGACAGAACGAATAACAGACAGAACGAATAACAGACAGATCGAACAAGACAGATTGAAAGACAGAACAAACAACATAACGAATGACAGACAGAACGAACAACAGACAGATTGAGTGAACAGACAGAACGAACAACAGACAGTTCGAACGACAGATAGAACAGAACGAATGACCAACAGAACGAATAACAGACAGAACGACAGACAGAACAGAACGAAGGACAGACAGATCGAATGAGACAGATCGAATGACAGAACGATCAACAGACAGATTGAGTGAACAGACAGAATGAACAACAGACAGATCGAACGAACGAACGAACGACAGACAAAACAGAACGAATGACCAACAGAATGAATAACAGACAAAAAATAACAAACAGAACAACAGAGAGAACGCCAGATAGAATGATAGACAGACAGAACATGGATGGATGAACAATAGATGGATGGATGAATGTACAGACAGATAAGAACGACAGACAGCAAGTTTAGGCCACAATGTTTATTCAGTAGTGTTGTTTTAACTTACAGGTACAATACTGTCTGCTTTGTACAACTAAAAAAAGTCACCATTTCATTCTGCTGTGCTAATAACACAATAACACACTCTAGCCATTCATGACCACACCGGCGAAACGCTTCCAGATGGTAGGCACTTTTAAGGCAAGGTTTAAAACATTTGTGAATATACATTTATATATAATTCTATATAGATTTTTTCCCATACATGAATAAGTAATTGGATGCAAAGGTCAGATGTATACTCAAAAAACAAAACTAACAGCTAACAATTAAAACAAAAGAAAAACCTCAAATGTGGCCAAAGAATAACACAGCAATATGGAGATCAGACGAGTCTTTGGGTTTGCAGATGTTTGTCAGTACCTTCGATCCGTACAGGTGTTGGTCACAGTCGGGAACGCCGATCGAGAGGGAAAACGCAGGGATTCACGCTTTACACGGGTCTAAAGAGCGCCATGCAGTCGTACTGATCGCCACTGGCCTCCGGAATGGGTTTCGGTGAGCATTTAAACTGGAAACTCTTGCTTTCGAGGTTCCAGTTTGTAAAGCGGCTCCTGTAACAGAACAAATCAGATCTACGCTCTCCACCAACTAATGAACGCGATCACTGCAGTGTGACGTGAGAATAAACGTGGGCTTTCCTCAGAACGGCTCTGATCAGAGGACAGCTCGACTCTGGGATCATCAGCTCAATAAACCAGACGCTTCTCAACATCTGAGGAAGATTTAGAGACGCAACACACGAGAGGGCCGTTCCTCAAAACCTACAAACACTCGAGCGGCGATCAAACGGGACGTATTTTCAGGTCGAAGCGCCAATAAACGCTGAACCTGTGAAGCTGCAGGGAAACATTAAGAGTTATAAACAGACGACAGAAAGGCATTGATCAACATCTGAGAAAATGATAAATTAATGAAACACTTATGATCAACATCAGACATGCTGGATGAGAAATGAAATCAGGACTGATACAGAACAATTATATTCAATTATTCCACTTTAAAATGGTTCTTTACAAATACATATGCTAGAGTTTAAAAAGTAGTCAGCGACTAAAAACAGCTCCTTTGACAGAAGACGGACGCGGATGTCCTCGCCGTTACAGATTGGGTTTCTTTTCAGCCTTTTCAAAATACACAGAAAATAATGTTTAAATACAGAGAGATGCTTTTTTTTTTTTTTTTTTTTTGAAAGAGGAAAGAAAAGGTCTTAATTACAATACTCTATGCAAAAAGCTTTCCTTTACGGTATTTATTTTTTTCCTCGTGATTTTTTGAATGCAGAAGGAGTTTGTCGCAGTCACTGATATCGGCCCGTCACTGGTGTTGGTGAAGGGGTTTATGCGTAAAACTCCTTGGTCGGGGCTTTCTGATAGGCCGCTCCAGAAGGTTTTCTCTCCCCGAGGTCGTAACTGCCTTCATCCTTCTTTCTCATGCGATAAACCAACAGGAGGATGAGGAAGATGGCGAAGAGGAAGCCGATCACTCCTCCCGCAATCACAGCTGCAACACAATAAGGGACTCGCTTTATTCCAGTTAAGATATGCATTGGTTTCTCACACGTGTCCTAACAACACTGCGACACCTTATAAAAAGCAGCTTTTCCATGTTAATCAGAGTTTAACCATTTACATTTATGCATTTAGCAGAGGCTTTGATCCAAAGCGACTTACATTGCATTTCAAGCTACACATTTACATTCTCATCAGTTCTTGCTTTCCCTGGGGATCGAACCCATGACCTTGGCGTTGCAAGCGTCAACGCTCGACTGTTTGAGCAACAGGAAAGCTAACCAGACGCGACGGCGACACTCGACGATTCTATTTTAGAAATTCAATTCAATTCACGTTTATTTGTATAGCGCGTTTTACAATACACATCATTTCAAAGCAGCTTCGCAGAAAGTGCATGAGTCCATAATACAACTTAGTTTTATTAAAACTGTTATCAGGTGACTGTCTAAGTTATGTATTTCAAAAATGTACATATACAAAATCACAGTTAGCAAAAAATATAAACAATGCAGTAATTTAATGCCAATACAATGAGCTCATTGAAGTAATGAATCCTTGTTTGTTAACAAATGATTATGACATTTTTGTATTATTGTATTTTTTCTATGTACATTTCTGAAATGCACTTTCTGTAAAGCTGCTTTGAAACAATATGTATTGTGAAAATCGCTATACAAATAAATTTGAATTGTATTGAACATTTAGATAATATAGGATTGGTATAGGATTTTTCTGCGACGTCGCGCTGGAACAACGGACACAAAGTGTGGCAATGCTAATCTCAGGTGTTGTTTATGTGCTGTATTTACTGTTAAAAGCGTGTAATGTGACTCTGAATATCATTTAGTGCTCCAGCTTTGCAGCCATAAAAGCAACAGTGGATAATTCACCTCAGATCTTGAAATTAAAACAATGACGTGAAACAAGAACGTTCAAACTGTGAACAAACAAGTGTATTCTTTAACATAGATTGTTTTAGTAACTCAGTATGTATTTTTAATCATGTTTAAATGGTGTAATATTAGTAAATTTGATTATGTACTTATTTTTTTTTAGCTAGTGCCCGTCAATATTACCTCGAGACTCCGCCCACACGCTGTTCTGATTGGCTGTGGGTTTTGATTGATTTTTCTTTTAATTACATTATTTATTTTTTTAACCAGGAAGGTCCGGTTGAGATGCAATATCTCTTCTACCAGAGAGTCCTGGTCAAGATAGACAGCACAAGGCAAAAATTACAAAGTAGTACATATCGGTATCAACATAAAAAACAAACGCAAAATACCCATATCTAAAAGACAATACACAAATCCTATTTAACTATTAAAACATTTACACCGTTCTATAAAAGATGTTTTTAAACAAAGCGAGAGATGGTACATATTTCATGTGTAGTGAAGCTCATTCCAGCATAATTAGAAAAGGCTGATCTACTTCTGTATGGGAAACGTTGACGCGTCTCGTAGTCGCGTCGCAGGGATCTTATCGCGTCTGGTTAGGACACGCAGTCACATGTGAAACATCATCCCTGTCAGACTACGTGACTCGAGCTCTCACACAAAGCAGAGCAGATTATGTCCATAATTGAATAAGGAAGCCCTCGACGCTGCTGGAGGCTCGAGAGCGACATGAGGAAATGTGTCGACCCGACGCAGGAAGATATGATTTCTTCTTCTCATTGTGGCTCACAGGATATTAAAGATGAGTGTGCTTAAATTAAAAATTTGACCTTTGCACATCAAGAAATTGATCTGTAGTATGGAAACATGCTCGTGAACTCTTGAAGCTCCCAGCGCCGGTTTAGGAAAACATGAATTCTTAGCAAGGATCCCTCAATGAGATCATCTAATATAGTAGCAAAATTATTATAAAAACTTTTATGTTTAGAAATGTTCAAACTCACTCAATTGGGATCAGTAAGATTTCTTTTTAATTAATACTTTTATTCAGCAAGGACGCATTAAATTGGTCAAAAGCGACATTTATAATGTTACAAAAGATTATATTTCAAATAAATGCTGTTCTTTAAACTCTCTATTCATCAAAGAACCCTGACAAAATTTCCACACAAATATGGAACTCTGTTTTCACAGTGTTAATTTCGTTGACGAAAATAACGACGAAAATTATTCGTCAACGACATTTTTTCACAGACGAAAACGATAACTAAATAAAACCTAGTTTTGAATGACAAAGACTATGACGAAAATCTATTGACATTTTCGTCAACGAATAAAAACTAGACGAAAATGTTAGATGGTGACGATTTGGGAAGCGATCCGTCAGAACTGATGTCCTGAGCGTGTGTGATAGATGCGCACATTTGTAGGCTACTGTAACGTGATCTACCCCGCGGTCATAAAACGTTAAAAAATGTGAACGTCTGGGAGAATGAGTAGAGCAGACATATAGATCTGAATAAGAGTGACGATGCAAAAAAGAGTTCTATTCGGTGCGGTTTTCTGTGCGCACACACCTAACCCGAAGCGTGCAGTCATGCACAATACACCTACAGCGCGCGAGTAGGCTACTGAATTGAGCTCTCTTTCGTGTCTGAATGGACAAATAGGCCTACACACAACAGTATGCAGGGGCGGAGTGGGACCAAAAAATCTACCGGGAAATTTCGTAGACCACCGGCCCTCGTCGCCGGCAGGGCCGGATTAAGAGCCCCCTGGGCACAATGTCTTGTAGGTCCCCTCTTAGGCAGGCCAAATGTATATTTTGTCCAGGGACATTTTAATACGGCATTTACAGTTTTACTGATTTAAAAGTAACTTTGTTGTACTATGCTGGAGTAAAGTTCATAAATGGTCGTTCTTTCCCATAGGAATTTTTAAAACTATGTTGGGTGGACCTCTGTGCCTCTAGGGGGGTTCGGGGGCATGCTCCCCCGCAAGATTTTTTTTTACATTTTAAGGTTAAAAGCATCAATCTCGTGCTCTTTGAGAGATCAAAATTAAGAGCTTCAACCCATGAACTGCTCGTTGAACAAAGAAAAAGCATTGATTTGTACCAGGACAATAAAGAGGGCATCTTTTTAGTTATGAGAGTCTCAGTCTGCATTACATTATCAATGATGTTTTAGGATGCCAAACAATTATTATTATAATGTAATAATGATTTATATAATTATTCCTATGACGTAAAATCCATTTAGCCTATAAATGTACTATATAAATGAAAATGAATATTTCAAAAGTATATTTTAGCCTACATTACACTATAATATAGGACAATTAAAATATTTTTGTCCTAATTTCTTCATTTGCAAGAAATAAACCCTTGAGCTTTTAGGAGAAAACACCAGATAACCATGCTGATCGCGTGAGCAAAGTAATCACCCAGCACAGACAGGATGCCTATTCTTAAAGTCTTGTGCTGTTTTATAAAGACACAAAGCCATATCATGGTTTCAATTTTAGTTCGTTGGCAAAATATAACGCTAGAGACCTTTATGTTAGGTTATACATTTTACATCTTTACATATGTGTTGGGAAAAGGGAGAAGAGAGAGTTCGGCAAAAGGCGGATTCGAACTCGGGTAGAGCGCATCAAAAGCTGCTTTCAAGCACTTCACGCCCAACGACCTACGCCACTGTAGCTGTTTCGTAACGAGTGTCTTTTTGCTTTAAAGACAGACGCTCTGTTATAGAAAATGTTTAAAAAAAAAAGTTTTCTTCCCCTCGCTTGGGCCCCAAGTGCGCATGGCGAATTTGCAATGAATATATTTTATCAGACCGGCCCTCGCGGCCTCGAAACAATACCGGCCCAGCGGGAAAACTCCCGACTCTCCCGATTGCCACTCCGCTACTGACAGTATGTCTAAATGTCCGTTTTAGAGAGTATTCATGTAAACTATGCTGGTTATGTCTTAAACTGTGAGTGTATCGGATGTGCATCAGTGCAATTGTATCCGCATGTCATTGGACATGATCCGACGTCTTAAAGTGACAGTGGCAATAAACATAATGCGGTCCGTGTCCTTAATTTTGATCAAGCAACAAAAGAAAAAGAGAAAAGCATTCACTGTTTGTTAATAGCTTTAATAAGGATTAATTATATTGAATTCATACAAATAAATATGTCTGCTTGAAAGAATAAAGAATGATGTATGCAAGTAGTTATAAGGAATGCATATATCATTCATTGTAAAGAAGACTGTGTTGTACTTTAGGAAAAGTGGTTTTATTTAATTTTAAGATATTTTTTAAGTAACAGCAGTTAAATCTGTATCTGTATTGCATGTTCAAACTTAAAAATCATTCATATTAATAGGTTAATAGATGTTTTCTCCGGGAGTAAATGGGTTTGGAAATTTTAGAGAAATTCTAAATTAACGCATTACAATTTAACTAAACCCATTATATTTTAGTCGACTAAATCTACTGTAGATTTAGTCGACTAAAATGTTATTGTATTTCGTCGACTAAAACTAGACTAAAACTAAAACAATTCAGATGACTAAAATATGACTAAAACTAAATGCCATTTTAGTCAAAAGACTAAGACTAAAACTAAATCAAAATTTGCTGACAAAATTAACACTGGTTTTCAACACTGATAATAATCATAAATGTTTCTTGAGCATCAGATCATCATATTAGAGTGATTTCTGAAGGGTCATGTGACACTGAAGACTGGAGTAATGATGCTGAAAATTCAGCTTTGATCACAGGATATAAATTACACTTTACTGTATATTCACATAGAAAACAGCTGATTTACATTTTAATAATATTTCACTGTTTTTACTGTATTTTTGATCAAATAAATGCAGCCTTAGTGAGCAGAAGAGACTTTTTTTTTAAAACATAAAATTGTTCTGATCCCAAACGTTTGAACAGTGTGTACAGTGTGTGTGAACAATGATTAATAAATATATTTATATAAATATATATACATTTTATTTTAAATGGTTGCAGTCCTAAAGATACTCGGGTGTCTTGCAGTGCTGCTGTATAATTAACAGGAGTATTTATCAATAATATTTCCCAGACCTGCCAACACCTCAGTCCTCTGGAAGAGATTCTCGGACTGCACCTCGAGCGGGGATCGAGGGAGGCTCGTGGTGCTCGTGACGGGGTTTCGGTGCGAGTCTTCAGTGGCCGGATCTGGAGCCTGAAGAGGAGAAGAGGAGGACGTGTTACACTCAGTTTCTGACAGCGCTGGACTCGGCATGACTGCACATCATCTCATCTACACTCTGTGACCAGGAGACCCCATTTACACCTCGGCTGAAGATGGTTTCGGGTGATCAGACACATCTCAAATAACAAAGGATCCTCTAATACCCTGTCAATCAACAAGCCTTTTTCATTTTTACACGTTTCTTTTTTTTTAGAAGATAAGGTTAAGGTTTCATCATGCCATATTCATTATTTTTAGTCAGTTTTACTGAGTCTAAATTTTACTAGAACAGGTTTTCCTGCTTGAATGTTGATTATTTTCCTCATATTCTCCATTGTTGCGGCTCCTCTCTTCCCAGTCTGTCAGTAACGCTCTGTTTACTTCCTGTCTCTATGAAGCCCCTCCTTCTGAAAAGCACACTGAGCTCTGATTGGTCGGCTGGAGCAGTGTGTTGTGATTGGTCGAGCGCTTCGAGTGTGTTTGGGAAATGTCCCGCCCCTTACCATAACCACCAGTTTAACACACTACTAACTAACTCAACCAGGCCCCGCCCCTTTATTCTGCGTATGAATTATTATAATGAGGAATATTGTGACGTGTTCGTTCCCGGAAGAAACTCAAGACTACAATGGAGGCGTTTCAGGAGTTCAGAAACACTGACACTGATATAGAGAAGAACTGTAGATTTCTCATGCTCTAACAGCAACATTACACACTAAAGATGGGAAAAAGCATAGGGTTATAAAAAGCAAGTTTTCACCTCTATCCTGATTCGTTTCTTCGTGTCTTTGGGAGCATCGCGTGACGTCGATGTCTCCATTTTGGGCGTGAAGTCTTTGGTGGAGTCCTGTGTGGGCTCTGCTATAGGCACGATGAAGAGTGTGTTTACTGTGGCCACCTCCACAATATCCTCTCCAGCTCCTGAAACACACACACATGCTTTCACACACTCATCACAGAGGATTAGATTGTGCACTGGGAATCAATGAGGCTCTCCTTACCTGATCCCGATCCGGAGCTGAAGTCGTCGTCATCCTCAGGATAACCCCCCGACCCGACGTCCTCCAGGTACAGGTCGTCGGCCGAGGAGGCAGGTTTGGCCGCAGACACTGCTATCTGCAGAGAGAAAGATACATGTGGGGGTTAAGGCCTTGCCACACTAATATTAACTATATTAATGATTAACTAACTGTATTTTTCTATGTACATTTCTGAAATGCACTTTCTGTAAAGCTGCTTTGAAACAATATGTATTGTGAAAAGCGCTATACAAATAAATTTGAAATTTGAATTGAATTAATAATCTTTTTCTCTCCGTTTCGGCCTTCCGTCACATTGAGACGGTGTTTTTAAATACCTCACTACAACGCGAAACACAGTGTTTTCAAAATGTATCCACTTTGGAGAGCGTTTTCAAAAAGCTTTATTTAAATAAATACGGTTTATTTATATTTAAATAAAATATTGAAGACAGACGTCTATTTGAATGTAGAAATATTTACACTATGAATATTTATTATTTATTATTATTATTTATAATAATAATATATATTTAAAATTAAATAAAAAAATCTATAAAATACAATAAAAAATAATATAATATAAATAATTAAAATAATAGTAAAATAATTCATTTTTTTTTTTTTATAAAATACAATATAAAAATATAATATATATACACACACACACACATACATACATATATATAAATAGTATAAAATAAATGAATAAAAACAAAGCTTTTTGAAAACGCTTTCCAAAGTGGATACATTTTGAAAACACTGTTTTGCGCGTTATAGTGAGGAATTTAAAAACGATGATGTAAGTTTTGTCATGTGACGCATATTGAAACAATAGATATTCATGTTTATAGCGGTATTGTGCTGTTCACTTTCACACTGTTGCTAAAATATGTAACTTTGCACACTCTTCATATCACAGTCCTGCGGTGAAACATGAGCAGTTTTAGACCAAACATATAATAGTGAGTGAGTGTGTGCGGAGATATTCAGCTAAATAAAATTATCCTGATTAAAAAAAAAAAAAAATTGTCGCGTGTATCATCTCAGTGAGCTTCTGTGCATGTGCAGTAAAGGTGAATTTAGCGTTTTCAGGCGTTTTCCCACACACTGAAACGCCTGAAAGCGCTAGTGTGGACGGAGAGCGATTTTAAACGAAAACACTGTATTTAAATCGGATTAATGTAGACGAAGCCTAAGTTGTTTTCCGGCTTTCAATGTCTGTCTCTTATTGCTCAAACCCCTCGACTCAGAGGCTATGAAACCAATTTTTTTTCCGTAATGTGTTTGAAAACGACTAAACTGCCCATCTTGCCACACGATGGATGAGTATTACCTTTCTGCTGCAATTTGAAAGTCAATGTTTTCTGCCTTAACACGTAGGCTATTACACCGCCTAACCTTCTCATCAAAGCACAGACACACAGCACATTCTGCTCCATAACCGAGAGTTCAGACCGAACTGCAAGCTCAGCCGTTTCTGGAGAGACACTTTATGACATTTTAAAGCACAGCAGGAACTTTCTAACAACGGGTTAATCCTCAAGAGCCCACCCGCACCATCTCTGCAAGTGAAGCATTCACCAAACATTTGCATTTCTTTTGCGAGAGGTGCAAAAACACAACTAACCCTTCATGTGAATGTGCTAATGGCAGTGCGTCTTGCTTGAATTATGTCAATGCCATTCTTCCCAGTGCAAACACACCTACTTTTGGCTCATTATGCATTGTTGGATATTCACTGAACTCACTCACTCGTTTGCTTAGTGCAATTAACGCTGCGCTATTAAACGGCTTTATTAAGAGAGGCGTTTGTGTGCATATTCTAGCAATCATGGCAGCAGTTATTCATCAAATAATGAGCAAATAATAGAGAAGAACGGTATAATCGTGCAGATATTCAGACACACACACTTTCTGCATTTAAAGAGTGTGTTCAGGAGTGTGGAGACAGACTGAAGAGTCTAAGATCACTGACAGATCATTGATTACACAAATCTTATGATCCTCTTGTGAGGGACATTCTTTCTAAAATATAAAGGCAGACGTATATTTTAATGTAGAAATATTTACACTGTGAATATTTATTATTTATTATTATTTTTTATAATAATAATAATATATTTTTAAAATTAAATCAATAAAGAAATCAATAAAATACTATTAAAAAATATTGTAATATAAATAATTAAAATAATAATAAAAAATGCAATATATTTTTTAATAAAATACAATATAAAAATAATATATATACAAACATATATATAGGCTATATATATCAAATAAATCAAATAAAATAAAAGTCTGAAAACCCCTTGGCTAGCGAAAATTACACTGTACAATAGTGCATACAGGGTTTAGCACAGATTTGTTTTTATGTGGTTTTGTGAATTGCCTTCCAGAATGCTTTACTGGAATAGTTAGTTTGGATAGTATAACAATATTTAAATATCCCTGTCAAATGTTAATCACACTGTTCCAGTGCAACAGGTTTTGAAACACCATCAAACCATATGACTGTTTTAACTATCAGTGGAGGCTTGTGTGGTAGTGCTAATCATGTTCTCTGTGTTATTCGGTCTTTGTGGAGAGGTTTAAACTTTACAGGCCTCATGGAAACCAGCATCAGTCCGACCCCGTTCGTGATGGTCCATCCATGCGGACCCGGCCGAGAAAAGGCCCATACTGTGGTCAACATCAATCCCACTCGAGGGCCCGGGAATGAAGCACAGAGAGTCTGTGGCATATACAGCCTTTGTTTTAAAGGTGAGTCTTTGTTTTAAAGGTGACATATTATGCCCGTTTTCACAAGATGGAATATAAATCTTTGGTGTCCCCAGAATGTGTCTGTGAAATTTCAGCTCAAAATACCTCACAGATCATTTATTATAGCTTGTCAAATTTGCCCCTTTTTGGGTGTGAGCAAAAAACATGTTTCTGTGTGTGTCCCTTTAAATGCAAATGCGCTGCTGTAGCTCCGCCTCCATCCAGAAGAGGGCGGAGCCTTTACACACGCTTCAGAGACTCCGGGAATAACAACACAGGCCAATCTCACTGATCCAGAATCAGGAATAACCAGTAGCGACTCGAGTGCAGCCTTACGGAGAGACTCAGGGAGAGTTTCACTTTTAGACGTTTCTGAACGCAGGGTTCCCACACCTCGGGTAACTTCAAATTCAAGGACTTAATGTGGGGACACATATCAAGTGAGAGCAAGGTAACGTCGTATTATTTTGTAAGATACATTGTTACAGTTTTGCGCACGTGAATGTCAAGGCAACGCTCAACACAAAGCACCTCACGCGGGAAACACTTAACGTAACGCGTAAATGCGCGTAACTAACGATAATCAAGCAAGCTAGTGCGCATAGGCCACGCAGTGCTGGCGGAATAACACATTAGTGGACGGGATGGAAATAAAATGGAATTATTTCCAGAAAAAAACTCTATAGCCCCTTTCACACAGCGCGTTAATCCCGGGAAAAATAGCCGGGAAATTGCCAGAACGCCTTCAGTGTGAACGCAAACACGACCCGGGATCGATGCCGGGTTGGGGATCTAGTAACATTGCCGGGATCAGTCCTGGAACGCGCGCTGTGTGAACAAAAGCCGTAATCAATGGCGTTTGTAATGATGACGCTGAAGCCGGGATCGTTCGCTAGTGAAACGGTGCGTAATGCACTAGTTTATGATCAAATCAGAGAGATAAATGCACAAGCGTGGTTTCTCCAGAGAGACATAAGCAAACCGAGACATTCGCATCGATGTCACGTGTCTTTACGGGTTGTGTGAACGGAAAATCACTGGCAGTGTGAATGAACCAAAATCAAACGAACCCGGGTTACTTTATCCGTGTATTTTCCGGAATATCTGTGTGAAAGGGGCTTGTTTGTGTTTATTTGCAAAATCTTTCCAGAGCCTTGACATTTTTTTTTTTTTTTTTTAGATTCACAAACTTTCAAGGACTTCAAGGACCCGTGGGAACCCTGTGAATGTTAGTGGAGACTTTTCTGTAGTTGTTGTGGAGTTACACTGATCATCTCCTCATCATGTTGAACTCTTCCACAAGTGTCCACAGTTCCTGAGGTGTTTATAAGACAGCGGTGACGTGTTCTGGTCAATAGTGTTCAGTGTCGTCTGTGCTCGACCACAGAACAGTTTCAGGCTTTGCTGGATCTTCTCCAGTGCGTTAGAACTGGTCTCTGTTGGCGCTCGCGAAGCCAAATGTCGGCTGGTGTGTGTAAACGTGCAGATTAAGGGCCGGGAATATTATAATAAGATCCTCTTCATACGTCACAAGAGGAGCGAAATCTGATCGGCTTATTTTTTTACATGCTCTCAGAGAAAGGCTCACCTAAACTAATGCTCCGTCCCAATTCGCATACTATCCGTCCTAAATAGTATTCGAAAATAGAATTAGTACGTCCCAAATCGTAGTATGTTGAAATGTGTGATCCAAAGAGACCCGGATGGTCTACTATATCCGGTCAGAATCCGAAGTGCAGATCGATGCGCACTCTAACGGCTGATATTGCCCAAAACCCATCGCGCGTTGGACGAGGATCCGGTTAGAACTACAAACACGAGTGAAAAGTGTTAAAAAAACTACAGACATGGAGGTCCGACGGTTGTGCAGAGAGGTCTAGATAAACGGGTTTGAGTGATTCATTATCAGTATCTAACCTGACGAAAATGTATTTATTCAATGTTGGCTACATTATATTGCATCTGCAGCACATTGTGAACTTTAGTAAAGATACGTTTAGCCATTAACTTTTAAATGCATCATTATATTCAAATTGCAAACACATGAGGAGAGTCTCGGCATAATAGACCCACGACTGGCAGATGAACGTGCGAAACGTCTCTCCGAAACGGTAAGAAATTAAATTAGATTGAATGGAGGATTTTAACGGTGACGAGATGATTGACAGGGCAGTTCGCGGTGACCGGATGCACGCGACAGATCTGTCCGTTAAAGATGGCGAAGTAGTGTATCCCAAAGCTTGCCTACTCTTTTGCTACACACTCAAAAGTGTGTACTTTTTCCTTCACAAAAAGAGTACATACTAAGTAGGCGAATTGGGACGCAGGGTAAGTTACTGG